CTTTCCCATCACCCTGGCCTACATCTGATATGCTTACAATGGTATTATTGCATCACCCCGGCCCACAACCAAATTTTCCCATGAAGGCATGTTCATGTCACTGGGCCCGCAAGCCAATTTTTTTTTTAAAGTATTCAATTCAAGAACAAATAACAAAACATTTCTTGACATTCCATTTACAAAAAACAATGACTGGAATATGTGCCATTATATCAGGATTTAAATATGCAGCACCTCATAAAAATAAAATCATGCTGAAATATCTACAGTCCTAAATACTTCAATATCTAGCCTTAGAAAAACAACCCTACTAATGAATCTTAAGTAACTTTGTACTTATATAATGAAACCCAATAAAGAACACAAAAAACTGATGATGTAATAAAAGCCAGATTATTCTACTTACCCTAATCACTTTGAAAATTTTATCCTTCAGTTTCATCTTCTTAACAAAGGTTTTGTCCGTCTGCTGGTGGCACTGGAACGTGTCCCAAACTTGTTGTGAAAGGTTGTCCCACTCTGACCCATTTAACAGATCACTAGGAGTTCCCACCACTTCACTCTTCCACTGGAAGTTTGTATTTATTCGCTCACTGCTGAAAGTCCCAGCACGTTCACTCACTGGCAGTTTGCCTTGGTCCCTATTATTTTTAGTGTTATGTGGAGGGCAGTGGTTGTTGTAGTGGTTTCTGTGGTTATTATGATACCTGTTATTGTACCCATGATTATATCTTCCATCACTATTATTGTAATGATGATGTGAAGGATAATAATCATAGTGCCCGTTATAACCATAATTATTATAACCTCGCTCGTATCTTCGGTTATGATAGTTGGTGCAGTCTCTGTTAGCTACATCTGGAAAAGAGTTGTAGTACAGATGGTTCCCCCTTCCACCTACAACACCACCCTGCTGGCCGGAGATTTGTTGCTGATAATGATACTGATGATGTGAAGGATGATGTTGATTGAGATGTGGACGATGGTTCTGGTGATAACGATGATGCTGCTGGTGATGAGGTTGTGTGTTCTGGCCATCAGCATTGCTACTGTATCTCCTCTTCTGGCGTGGGTTGTGGTATGATCCCTGAGAACTGACGCTGGAAGTGCTTGGGGATTCACTTCGTGAATCCCGGCTGTTGTTGCCTCTTCTGCCAGGAACATCCAGATGCCGTCTGGAGAAACCAAGGGTAATCTAAGCAAGTGATATTCCATGAACTGTTGCTCTGATAAAAATAAACATGCTGAAGCTTAAATGACAAATGTAAAATCAACCACGATGATGAGTGTATAGCTTTCTGCACAAACTCTGTAATTTTGTCACAAATGAAGATATTATTAAAGTAACTGATAACTACTCTGAAGCACACATCATGCCTCTCTTGTGTATTCAGTTTTTCGAAATACGCGACAACCTTTTTTTTTTCTTGCCGATTTCAATCTTTTTTTCGACCCTATCTCTGTGGTATATTTTTTCGAAAAAAACAGTTTTTGAATTATAGTAAAAAAAAAAAAAATCACAAATAAAAAAATTAAAATTGACAATTTTTAAAACAACATAAAATAATAGGAAAAAATTGCAGTCATTCTAATTGTTTTATTTTACAGAACCATCCTTTATCTAGGGAACGTAGGAAGCACTTTTTTTTATTTCAACTTTATTGTATCTAGAAAAAACAGTTTTCGTCATTTATATATCAACTTTACAAGAAACACTGGAAAAAATCGAAAATTCCACTTCGTACATTCCCTAGACACACTATTTATCTACAAAAAGAGCCATAATACGTTTATTTTGGACAAAATTTGCATCCATAATCTTGGATGAAAAAAAGTATACTTCTGAAATAAAGGTCATTGAAGTTTTTTTTTTTTTTTCATAATCCCTATGGTATGAAAAATTAAAGGGAGAAGCATAATCTTCCTACACCATAATCATCTATCATCTACCTGCATTCCGAAGTCATCCAGACATTGCCAGCACATAACGGTTTATCAAAATCTTTCGTACAGTGAAGCAGGGTGGCAGTAATTTTTCATGTCTATAGGCCTACATTGACCATTTAAAAAAAATTATCTAAAATCCAAATTTTTTTTTACCCCATTCTGATTTCATATCTGAATAGAACTATCCTTCTACTATAATATGCAGAAGGCTTTTTTTAGAAGTCAACCTTACTTTTTTGGGGGGTGAATATTTTCCAAAGCCCAGTATTTCAACACACTAAAAAGGGATACTGAAAATATATGTCACTTTTATAAGGAGCACATGAAAATATTGGAAATCCTTATTGAATAATGTAATAGATCTATTATTCAGCTACAAAATGAACCATAATACATTAAAATCGGACTGAAAATACGTGTGCTATGCGTAAAAATGTGAAGGCCCTAATAATTGCGATCTTTTTCCTTTTCATTATTTATTCCTTTTACATGACAAATCATGTACGTAATACTTGTATATTATATAATCATCTATTATTTACCGATTATTGTT